GTGGCTCTGAGCAGCATCTAATGGGACCAGCTGGAGACCACTGGGCAGTCCTGCCTCAGATCCCAGGAAACTGGTAAAGTTGTAGGGTTCCACAGAATCTGGGAGACCAGGAAGTGCTGGTTTGAAGTTATAAGGATGTAGGCTTTCACTGAGTACAAAGGAAGCCTTATTTTAGATAGTGACGTTTAATGACTGTGGCTACAGATCATGAACTTCCTCTGCCTCCACAGTGTTCAAGAAGAAGTAGGTGGGCTGTTGTGGAGGGGAGCCTCAGTACATGGGGTGTATGGTTCTCAGTCTCTTTCACTGTGTGACATTGGTTCAGTCAAATATATGGGCCTGTGCATTTCCTTGGGGATGGATGGACAATACAAGCACTATTTTAAGAGCAAGCTCTGTATCTGTCACTTGATAGCACTGTATTTACATGGTGATGAGCATTTATCTTTACATTAACTTTGCATAATCTGTGCATCTGAAAAGACAGAAATCAGTCTCTTGATGTCACTGTTCTACATGCAGATTTTAGATCTTTCTTGTTTATTGCAGATGGAATCAGTCTCTGCATGCCTGTCCCTGACCTCACACTTCACACTCTCAGGTCTGTGTGGTATCTTCCTGTACATAGCTTCATCTTTGTGAGAGTCATGGCTACATTCTGCAGCATAGTAGGAGGCTGGTGTCAAAGAGCAGATTTATAACAAATTTAAAGATCTAACTGGATTTTATTTGTGATTCTAGAATCAGGCAACATTTCATTGTATAAAGACAAAATGACTGTTTTCATGAGCTGAGCAGAGGAGGCAGTCTTATGGACAAAAGTGGGTTGAAGACTATAGAAATAAGAACGGAAGAATGGGTTGATTGCTTCAGTTACTTTCCTTATAGAGTTAAAACAGATGGAACTTTATTTTATCGTGCCAGCCCAAGTAAACTGGGCCTTTTTTGATTGGTTTCTGTGAATCTGTATTTAGAAAACTGGCACATTTCAGAGTTCAGTTTGATCACATGGCACCTAGCATGAGTGACTCAGTTCTCAGATTCTCATTTGATTTGATAAGCTGGAGCCTACTGTAGGAGCTCAGTCCAAAATAATGATCTCCCATAAATTTTGTTTAACACTACTAAACATTTGAATGAATCAATGCCCAGAACTTTATCTGGGCTATTAGATTTTCTGTCCAGGAACTGTTAACCCAAAGATATGAGGCAGTCATAATACATCTCTGCAGAGTTATATTACATCAGGAATTGATTGCCCTTTCTTCACATCTTTCCTAGGCATTTATTGTTCTTTAAATGAAAGAGGAAGAAAATGTTGTTGACCCTTGTATTTAGGTCTGTGATAGACAAGTTTTAAATGCATAAAATACTCAAAACTGGGAGGATTATGTGGTTTTATTAATAAAATAAAAGTGCACATAGTGGTTTAGTAAATGTCAGCTAACATTTTTATTTTAATTGATAGTGGTGTTCCTTCTGTTACTTATTTTATTTGTATTTGTGTTTGTTTGCCACTAATAAAGGGTTCTAAGGGCAAAGACCTTAACTTATTACTTAAGATTGTTTTTGCCTCACTTTCTTTTAAAAGTTTATGTATGTGTTGATTAGGGTGGTGGTGGGGTCTGTTACATGTCTTCATGTGGCTCTGCTGTAAAGCTGCAGGACTGTTCTTGGAATGGGAAGTTGAAGCTAAGATAATCAGAGAGGGGTGGGGTGGGGGAATTGCTGTTATTTGTGCTACTCATATGCTTTATACCAAAATTTTGTATTTAACATTTTAATAAGATATGTTTCTCTGAAGTTCATAGTGGCTAAATGTTTTATACAGTTTGAGAGTCTTGTGAGTAAATAGAACTTAATGTGTGAATGGTTAGGATTTGAAGAGAATGTAGAATTTGAGCCTGGTTAAAGAGGTGGTGCTAGGGAATGAAGTACGGAGCAGGCTTTCTGTAGAGAGCCTATGTAAACTCTGTATGTGCTAGCTTCTGATTTCTGGAAAATTCAGAGGCTTAAGAGAGATGGCAAGGACCAAAATAGTAAACAAATCCAAATACAATCAGATTAGGAGAATATCGGTAGATTAACAGTCCTTTTGACACAACCTATTCTCAGGTTAAACATTTTCACATCACAAGATTCTTTATTTCCTATTGACTCTAAATGTAGTGGATAAGTAAGACTGTGGGCTTATTACTAGGGAAAACCTTAATATCATTGACCTTGTAAAATGCCTTCTAGAACAAAATTAAATATTTTATGAGAAAAATTTAGTTGTCTTTTGTGTCACTGTGCAGAGAAACATAACCAGAAAGTAATTTGTATGCTTCGGACTCGAATAGTCTGTAATGCAATTGAAATTTCCTGAGCTCATGTTATTATTACAAACGGTCTGGTCCTTCCACCTTATTTTTAGAATTTTTTTTTAATCAGGTGGTATTATCCTGGCTTGGCTTTGGTCTATGATTGTTCCCTAAATTATGATTTAAGCTCAGGGTTAGTTGATAGCATTGTGCAGAAAATATAAGTACATCTTTGGTGGGATTTTTGAGGGAGGGTTTCCTTAAATATAAGTTTGTTCCTTCATTCATTCTTCTAATCAACAAATAGCTAGAAGGGAGGTGGGCCTTATTGTCTGATAGAGCATCACAAACACAAGACCAATTTGGAAATTACAGGGCAGGTGTGTTCTTGCTCCATAGGGGGGCACTGCCAGCAAAATATAGAGATTAAACCACAGATATGACCAGAATTGGAATGATGGTGTTTCATCGAAACGTGCACCTCTGAGCTGGCAGTATTGTACCTCTTAGTAGAGATGTTGCGTTTCATACTTTATAGCCTTGACCTATAACTTCAAAGGACTGATGCTTATCACTTGGCAATGAGGTTACACACTTAAAAATGGAAGTTAAATTCTTCAAGACCTTTGTGGTGCCTGACGTAGGTATGTTAGCAGCTGGATAAGAAAGGGGAGGGGAGCATCTTTATTTATCCAAAAGGAGACAGCCCAGTATAGTTAAAAACAGTGACTCTAGTTGGACAAACTTGCCCTGACACTTCTTTTTCCCCCTGGCTGTATGATCCTGGGCAAATCACCTTCTGGTCCCCAAGTTCTTCATTTTTAATGGAAGAACTTATCTCTCAAGACTTAAGTTAAATGTATGTGAAATATTAGTATTATGATTGATCCTGACTACAACATTTACCAAATAATAGCTAATAACAAAAGTAATAATTCTAATAATAATAATAATCCAATAACAATAATAATAATCTAATAATATTATTTATTATTATTTTATTAATTTATCATTAGATTATTATAATAATCTAATAATAATAATATTAATAACAACAACAATAAAAGTAATAATGGAAGAATTCCTAAACATCTAGAAAACATAGCCGGCATTGAACACTTTCCTCACTCTTAGGCACCATTAGCTAGTTGTAGCCACAGTTAGCTAGATAAAACCATCTTTAAAATAGGTTTTAATAGGGCTTATAGTGCTGGTTACTTTCAGAATCATCAAATCAGATTAGCTGATTGATGGAAGACAAATGAGGCCTGAGTAATCTAGGACCGTGTATTATTCTATATTTATAAATAAGGTGATGATTTAATGCAGATTACCTAGGGAAAAGCTCACTTTTTTCTTTTACTCTGTGTAATCAAGAGCATGGTGTACAGCTGCTGCTAAGAATGAGAAAGAAAGATATGTGATGCTTTTGATTTTAAATAAGCAAAATAGGATACGTGTAAAACAGTATAATTGAACAAATATTCATTCTGAATTATCAAGATACTTTTGAAAGGATAGTGGCAGTCGGGACTATGTTCTCAAAATCTATTGAAATAAATAATTCATACATGTTCTTATAATTATTTCTAGTAGACTCAGGAGTGTATTAGGCTCTTTTTTTTCCTCCTATGGAAATGGCAGTTTCTTTTTTTCTTGCCTGGCCTGCCTTTCCCAAACCTCAATCCTCCCTATCCTTAGATTCCCTGAAGCTATTTGACATATTCCAATACATTAGGCTGTTATGTTGTCACTGTTTTTGCATCTACCTTATAACATTAAAATTGCTTGCATGTATCTGTCAGTTTTTCTTTTTTAAAAAATATCTTTTATTTATTTACTTATTTATTTTTATGTGGTGCTGAGGATTGAAGTCAGTGCCCTTGCACATGCTAGGCAAGCACTCTACCGCTGAGCCACAACCCCAGTCCCCTGTCAGTTATTTTCTTACTCAATTTTATTTAAAGGGGCTGACTTATACAAGATGCTTGATAAAGTTTTGCTGAGTGAATTAATGCCTATTCACTAAAGTTTTCTTGTTTGTATTCATTCCAAGTAAACTATAACTCTGAGTAGGAAACCGCATTTTATGGTTCATTACCTAATACTATAGCACATAGGTAAACATTATTTGCCAGATTGCTGCATAGCCTGATTGCTAATATCCAGTATCCTGGAAATATTTTTTTGGGTTCATTCAGCAGGTATAAAATCTTTACTACTTTATCCTTAGGTGTACTATTATATATTTATGATATGATCCCTAAGGTATTTATTAAGTTTAAATCTTATTGTGGGAAAAATTACTACAAAGGCTCTCATCAGGTACAGGTCTTCCATCAGTGATCAATATTTGATTGATTCTGTAGGCAGCAACAAACCCTAAAATGCATGTTGTGGTTGAATAAAGGAATTGAGTGGTTCAGTTGAACATATCTATAATATACCTTTAGCTCTTATTAAGTATGAGTCCCTGAAGTTAATTTCAGAGTTTATTCCAGGATAGGGAGTTGAAATTGTATGGGAATTTATATACCATATCAGCTTCTTGCTTAAACCAATTAGAAAAGAACAGGTTCTGGGATTAAGACTCTTGTTAAAATTACTGAAATATGAAATTTTAATTTCAGGCTTTTTTGAAGACTTGAAAGCTTTTGCCTATTGGCATTTAATTTTGTTTTTATTTTTTTCCTTTAGTTTTAATTTTGGTTGCTGTTACTACTGATATCTGAGCCAAAGTGGTGCTGATAACTGAGGGAATCTCTGCAACCTGTAAGTCAACAATTACATGGTAAGAATGTGTGTCTTTACCTTTAAAGCCATTTCATTTCTATAACATTATAGTTTAGAAATTTTGTTGGAAATAGGATAGCATAAAATAATGTTTTTGAATATTTACTATTCAATTTTAACATATTTTAATATAATAACATGACATTTTAGAGCTTTTTATCCTAATCGATAATTAGGACATTAAAAGAGAAAATATATAACTTGATATATTTATTTCATGTTAATTTTTTATGGCCTAGTAAACTGAGATCTCATTTACTTCCCTATGTTCTTTGCTAGTTTGCTTTTTCTTTTCTGCAGTTTAGCCAATTCTTTGTTGTCTGAATCTTGCTAATAATAAATCTGTTTAAGAAGTCAAGATTTGGGCTGGGGATGTGGCTCAAGTGGTAGCGCGCTCGCCTGGCATGTGTGTGGCCCGAGTTAGATCCTCAGCACCACATACAAACAAAGATGTTGTGTCTGCCGAAAACTAAAAAATAAATATCAAAAAATTCTCTCTCTCTCTCTCTCTCTCTCAAAAAAAAAAAAGATGTCAAGATTTAAAAACAAACTAGTCAATTTTACTATAATTCACTCTGAACTGAGGTTGTGGTCATTCCAACTATAGCTAAAATGAGATTTAAAAAAATTATTTGTGGATTTCATTAATCTATATTGCTGTATTTATTTATTTTATTTATTTATTGTACCAGTAATTGAACCCAGGGTGCTTCACCACTGAGTCACTTCCCAAGCCTTTTCTTATTTTTTATTTTGAGATGAGGTCTCATCAAGTTGATTAGGGCCTTGATAAATTGCTGACGCTGGCTTTGGACTTGGGATTCTTCACCCTTACCTTCCAAGTAACTGGATTACAGGTGTGCACATCCACACCCAGCTATATTGCTCCATCTTTGAGAGCAATATCTTTGAGAGATAAGTGAGGAGTAATGAGACATTTGAGAATAGTAGGGCAAGTCATTCCCTTCAGCTCCAACTTCTCCATGTGCAAAATAATATCATTTGTCTTCCCTACATATAGAGTTGTAGTAATCAAATGAGATGCTACATGTGGAATACTTTTATTTATTTATTTTTCTTTTTAAAGTGAAGGGAACGAATAACAAGTCTTTTGTTTTGAGACACTATTGAGAAAAAACATGTTCGTAGAAAGGATGCCATACAAAAAGCTGAATGACTCTAATTTGGGCATGTCGTTATAGTTATTTAACATAGGAAAATTGAGTTTGATTTCTCTTCTTTCTCTTTAGAGGTATTTTTTTAAGGAATATATCTATGTTCTCTACTACAGTAGAATTAAGCTAGAAATCAGATTCAGATAATTGGGAAATCCCCAGGTATTTCAAAATAATCATCATATTTTGAAAACTCACAGGCCAAAGAATAAGTCAAAAGGAATAAAAAAAATGAAAATAAAAACACAGCATATCAAACTCTGAGAGATACACCTAAAGGACTACTCTTAGGTGAAATTTATAGTGTTAAATGCTTATATTAGAAAAGTTTTGAAGCAGTTATCTAAGCTTTTACCTTAAGAAACTAGAAACTAAAGAACAAATTAGACCCAGAAAAAGAAGAGGAAGGAACTGGCAGAGAGTAAAGTCAATGAAATGGAAAACAGCAACAAAAAATGTGGATTTTAAAAAATTCAGTGAGGGGCTGGGGTTATAACTCAGTGGTAGAGCACTTTCCTAGCATGAGTGAGGTACTGGGTTCGATCCTCAGTACCACATGAAAATAAATAAGGGGCTAGGATTGTGGCTTAGTGGTAGAGCGCTCACCTAGAACATGCAAGGCCCTGTGTTTGATCCTCAGCACCACATAAAAATAAATAAAATAAAGGTATTGTGTTCATCTATAACTAAAAAATTATATTTAAAAAAGGAGGAGTTTTTAAAAAAAGGTAGTGAAACCAAACTGGTTATTTGATACAGAGTAAAATTGATAAGCCTCTAATCAGACTAATAAGGAACAAAGAAACAGAAAACAGAAATTCCTGTTACCAGAAAAGAAAGTGACACACAGATTCTATAGATATTATAAGGACAATAAAGGGATATTATCTTGTAATGCATTTGATAACTTAGATAAATGGGCAGATTCCATCAAAGACACAAACTTCCAGGGGCTGGGGTGGTGCCTTCGGATAGAGCTCTTGCCTAACATGTGTGAGGCACCGAGTTTGATTCTCAGCCCCACATATAAATAAATAAAATAAAGGTCCATGTACAACTAAAAATTATTGGGAGAAAAACAAAAGATACAAACTTCCAAATTGCTGTTAAGAAAACATGGATAAATCTCTATTAAGGAAGTTGAACTTGTACTTTAAAACTCTTCTACAAAGAAAGCTCTAAGGTTACATGGCTTAACTGGTGAATTCTGCCCACCTTTGATACTAGTTAAGCACAAACTCTTCAAAAAAATGGAAGGGAGAGAACATAATGTTATTTTAAAAGACCAGTATTACCCTGATACAAAAAAGATGTTATTTAATAAAATATTAGTAAATTGAGTACAGTTAATGTTACTAAACTAAGTCTAGCTGCTCACCTAACAGCAGGGTAGTTAAGTCAAGGGACAAAGTGTTAACGCAAGGAAGGTGAATTTATTTCGAAAGTCAGCTAAAGGAGAAGATAGAAGACTCTTGTCACAAAGCCCATCTCTATAGAAGCTGATGTAGGGTGCTTTTTGCATGTGCTTTATAGGTATCATCCCATAGAGGGTGGGCCAGATACTTGCTATCTAATCCTTCTTGCCTAGTCATGAAATGTTTTTAAGTTCTTCAGATCTCAAAAACAGAGATCATTTTTTCCTCAGGCTAATTCTGTCACAAATTATTTATGTGTTACACATTGTATAAGCTAGAGGCTGGGTAGTTTCCTAAAGGCCATCTTGTTGATATGCCAAATTACCAATAATGAAAGAAAACATCCTTAGTGCTTGGTCTCATTAGTTATATCCTACAAACTTCTGGTAATGAATAAAACATCCTGAATGCTAAATTTCATTAATATGAAAAGGATAATCCATCCTGGGTAAGTGCCATTTATTTTATAAGTGAAAGATTGGTTCAGTATTTGAAAATTGTAGTTCAAAATATTAACAGAATGAACAACAGAATTTTAAAAAACTGTATGGTCATCTTCATATATGCAAGGGAAAAGGCATATAACAATACTCATTATCCATTCATGATAAAGCTTAGAAAGATAGGAATAGAAGGCAAACTCTCACAAACTTAGAAATAGGAGCTTTCTCAACTTGATATATCAAGATATCTATGTAAAACTGTAGCTAATATTGTAATTATTGGTAAAAGACTAATGCTTTTACCTAACATTAGGTGCAAAGCAAGGGTGGTCACTGTCATTACTATTTAATATAGTACTGTTAATATAATAAAGCAAGAGAAAGAAATGGCATTCTGTTAAGGAAAGAAAAACAATAAATCAAATTCACAATTCACTTAGCAAGGAAGTCTAGGAAACATTGATTTAGACTTTAAGTCTCATGTAAGGAGGCGCACAGAAGGAGTTGGGAATTGATGCTGAATGCTTCAGTTACCAATGAGTCAGGGGTTCTTTTGTTTGGTTTGGATGGAAATCATGAAAAGGTAAAGTGCATCTCCCTTATTGTTAGCAGCTCTGAGTGCCAGCATCCCTTTACCCTTAGAGTAATCTTATGCTCAAGGTGTTAACAGTTCTCCCAGCCACTCCTGGCAGTGCCTTTGCAACCAAGGTAGTATCCCCTGGCAGCTTTCAGGAGCACATCTAGTGATCAGAGCTAGCAGCTTCTAGCTGTGTTTTCTCACCTCCTCCACAGCTCTCCATTGCTCTCTAGAGCTTTAAGCAGCTCTCTCTCTGTTAGGCATTCTATAGGGCTAGTAGACTTTGTTACCAGCTTTTAATGCAAGCAGTTCAATCTATTTTTTACCCCAAATCGAAATCATGCACAGTAGTAGAACCATCTCAACAAGGCTTTATTGGAAACTATACTCCAGCATAGGGAGTCCATACACAGGATGCAGGTCTCAGACTGGCCTGATGAGGAAGTTTGCTTTTTAGCCAAACATGGGTAGGGTAACACACGTGCACAGTCTCCTGTGGACTAAACTCAGGCTTTCTGCTTAGTCAGGCCAGCCTGCACAGGTATATTAGGCTCACCTGTTTTGGCTGTTGTGGGCTGGGGAGGTGCTCCTTTTCTGCCAGAATGGGGGCAGCTGAAGGTGGGGGGAGGCATCCAAAGTGGCTACAGGTTGGAGACCTCCTGGATGACTAACTGTAGGTTGTCTGAAGCTACTATAGCTGAAGCCACATCTCCTGGAACCACTTCAGGACAGCTGAGCCTGCAGCCATCCTGATGACAGCAGGGTTGGACCACTGAAGAAGTAGCTGCTTGATTGACAGCCCCGTGGCTTATGTGGTAGTGGCAGGGCTGAAAGTCTGATGGCACCTCAGGAGCAGTGGCAGCATTCATTATAACCCAGTTAGATGAAGCAGCAGCCCCCAATCTCTACCTTACCAAGCCAACCATCTGTCCTTCCAGGGCAGTCAGAGTCCAGAGGCTGGGCTACTGTAGCTGTCATTGGAACAGACCCAGTGGGGCATGATGGTTTCCTTGGTAACCAGGAGAGTTGTGACAGCTTTTCTGGCACTTGCATAATTGGGTTAGATTGTGCTTTCATGGTTAGTCATGCCTCCATTTGATGGACAGGCCCTGTTGCATTTGCAGAAGCTTTGGTGCTAAGTCCCAGTAACTCCCTCTGATGAGAATCCAGGAGTGGGGTCATTGATACTAGTTCACCTGGGCTTGGGGGCCGCATCTCTACCCATCTGTACCCCAGTATGGCCCTATCTGAACCCAACCTAGGGCTGCTGCCTATTTGTGTACCAGGGTAGCATCAGCTGCAGTTATGAATAGGGCAAGGATTTGACAGTTGTCAGTCAAATACCTGGGTAGTTGTTCACTTCCACCAGCTCAGGGCTTGTCTGTCAT